TTGTGATCTGACAGGTACGTGTCGCGTTTATAGGAAAAAAATTTAGTGATGCCGAGGACACGTGTCTTCATCTTGGAGTACTTGGAAATGTCCCATCACCAGCAACTGGGCTTTAATAGACCATGGTCTTTTTTCCAATGCCCTATCCCTCAGGCTTCCATTAGAGAAGATGAAGATATAGGTGTCCTTCTCTCCATCCCTAATCTCCACTTGACCCTCTGCCTTCCAGGCCTTTATCAAAATAATTTTGACAACATTTCCGCTTAAGGTTTTCTGGGTGTAGATTTTGCCGACTAGGCATGATTGTTTCAGTAGTTTTCTATTGGAATCATCTGGTTTCAGGTGTATAATCGGGGGTATTGATGCTTTGTGGGTCTAGAATAGAAAGGTCATTATTTTCTACATTCGACATTTGAATATGGTAACTAGATTCCAAGAGAAACAGCCGAAAATATGGGATGTGGTATTTGGGGGATGGAAGGAGGGTTTGAAGAATGGATAAGAGGGAATCTAAGAGAAAAAGAGAGAAAGAAACATGAAAATATATTTTTGGGAGGAGGAAGAGAAATGGTGGAGAACCAGTAGTCAGGGGTTCTTTCCCTAAGCAAGAATAGAGAAAAGAAAAAGGGAGAAGTCAAGGCGATAGGTTAATTCATACCTGTACTCTATTAGGAATCAGAGGTTCAAGTGAAAACAGAAGAAAATCTTCATTGGGGGCACCGCAATAGAAGGGGATAAGAAAAGCTCCACGAGAGAGACCTGGTTGTTTTTCTTTCTCTGAGATGATAGACTTGGCCTTGGCTTAACAGATAGAGAAGGCGTGAAGGGAAGGCTATGAAGCATGTGAGAGAGAAAATTGGATGCGACGGAATTGGGGGTAAAATATTAAGGGATAAAATGTTAATTTTTTTGACTGTTGAATGAATGAATTTGAGACCGTATGGTGGATTTGTTGTAGATACCCTATTTTATATTATAGATATAGATTTACATATATTGATAGTTTTTTTAGATAATATATTTTGAAAAAAAATTATCTTTTTTTTTAAATCACGGGTACAAATTAATTTCAAATTATGCAATTAAAAAAAGAGACAAAAAAAACTACTATTTGGTACAATGTGACCTATTTTTTGAGTACTCAAAATTTTTATTATATTATACCTTTATTCATGTAAAGGTTATAACTAATAATTTTATATGTAACCCAACATAACCATTTGTGTATAGTGGGTGGATTTAGGTTAGGGGTGACTCTAATTTTAATTTTTTTTTTGGAATTTATATAAATTTTTAAAAATAAAATATCATAAAAAGTAAAAAAAAAAAAAAGAAAAAAGAAAAAAGTGCATGATCAAAATTACTTTTAGATTGAAAATTTTTATGGAAAAATCCATTCACACCCTTTATGAATAGGTCTAAATTCAATGACACCCCTCCTAATTCTTAAACTTCATTACACACCCTTCTGGTTTATTCTTTCAAATCAATGACATCCGATAATGATGAGTCCAGATTCGACTAGGTCAGACCCAATTGGTAAGATAAGCCTAGAACAGCTACAAGACAGGTCAAGCCCAGTTCGTGAGTTCGGCCCAGTCCAAGATCTAAGGAGTTTATGAGAGAATGGGCACGTGGGGGAGAGATCATCGGGATGGATACAAGAGAATTAATTGTACTTAACTTTTGTAACTATCCTCCCCGGAGAAGTAGTACCGTCACACTGACGTCACCGCCTCACCATACCTATAAATTGTAAGCTCTCTCCATATGGAGAGACACACCTTGGTATCTCACCAAAAACCTCTCAACACACAGCTTCTCTCTCCTAGCTATTGTACCTCTCCCAAAGCACATCTCTCGCAGAGCTTTCTCTCTCATACTTTATTCATCAATAAAAACTTTCGGCCACCGCTGTCGTTTCCCGAGAGTGGAGTAGGTCACCCAGATAGAACCACTATATATCTGTGTATTGACTCGATATTTACTGTTTTATCATTGATTACTTTATTTATTGTCCATTAATTACATCATATAACACACTCAACTGTTGATCTTACACGAGACAGTTTTGTGCATCATCAGATAACTTTTGTCTGTACCAGTAGATAAAGTAATGATTTGACTAAATATTTTGTGAAAATACTGAAATTACCATTTGTTATGTAAATAGATTAAAATACCCTCAATTTTTTCCCTATTATATATGCTCTAACCAGTCAACAAACATTACTTCTATCATTATATTATCCCAATGAATTTTTATCATTTTAAAGTGTTGCATGATAATTTTGTTATAATAGAAACCATCATATTATCTCTCATTTGGTTACATAATCGAGTTTTTATAATTTTTATAGTTAAAAATAATTTTCCTATAATAAAAATTACAATCGATAAAGTCAATGTCAAAATCTCTTACATTTCTAGTTCTTCTACTAGCGTTTGTCTTCCCCAACATCACCCGACCACTGTTCACACATCACCTTTCATATGTAAAATTTAAATATTATTTGATTAAATTTAATATTAATTAAATAAATTTGCTCTTACTTTGATGAATTTAAATATTAATTTGGTGATAATTTGATAAAATAAAATATTAATTTAGTATTGATTTGATAAAATTTTATATTAATTGAATAAATTTGAATGTTGTTTTAATGAAATTGAATGTTCATTTGGTGTTAAATTAAATAGATGACATTAATTTGATAAGGTTAAATTTTAATTTTAATAAAATTAAATGTCAATTTGGTGTTGATTTGATGAAATTAAATAATAATTTAATGTTAAATTAAAGAAATAATATTAATTTGATGAAATAAAATATTAAATTAATAACTAAATGCTAATTTGATAAAATTAAATATCAATTTTGTGTTGATTTGATGAGATAGAATGTTAATTTAGTTTAAATTAAATAAATGACATTAATTTGATAAAAATAAATATTAAATTGATGAACATAAAGACAAATATAATATAACTAAAAAAATATATATTAAAATTTCAGAATCGAGAGAGGTGTTGTTAAAGTTAAGTCTATTTATAGGGGGTGTTGTTAAAGTTATGTTTATTTCTAAGGGTTGTGGATAAAATTTATTTTATAAAATATTGAGAGGTATTTTTGTAAATCAACAATCGACAAGCACTGACAGGGGTCGTAGTGAAGTTTCAATATTAAAGGGGTGTTATTGAATTTAAATCTAACTAAGGGGTGTGGATGAAATTTTACCAAACGTTTTGGTGTAGGGGTGTTTAGAGATTGCCCTTATTTTATTTATCATACCATGGAAGAAAAAATGAAAATCTTGTGGGAAAAAGTGAGGGAGCTAAGCCTAGGCGGCACCACCATAGACTGCCTCCACGTGCCACCAACCCCACTCCAATTCCTCCGCGACTACATCTCCCCCAACAAACCCTGCTTCATTTTCAATGCCATCCACCACTTTGTGGCCCTCCACCTCCTACCTCCTCTACACATTTTCCTCTTCTGTCGTCTCTCTCCACCTCACCCCCACAGGCCGTGCCGACTCCCTCACCCCTACCCCACCACCCCCTCCTCCCTTTCCTTTGCTTCTGCCCATGTCCAATCTACGCCTTTCGATGAAGCTCTCATGTTTATACGTAATTCAAATGAACACTCGAAGTTCATGGCTTACTTGCAGTAATAGACCGATTGTTTCCGTTCTGAGTACTCTTCTTTGGCTGCTGATTGTGAATCAGACATTCCTTGGGCTTTTCAAGCAATTGGCTGTCTTCCTGAGGTTATGAATCTTTGGATTGGAAACCATTTATCGGAGACTTCATTTCATAAGAACCATTACAAGAATATTGATGATGCACAAATTGGACTCCTGCAAGATCAATAGTTGAATGTATGAAGATGTGTAGTTAATGAACAATAAATAAAACAATCAATGGCAAAATAGTAAATATTGAGTCAACACACAGATTTTAAGTGGTTCGGTCCGGGTAACCTATTTCACTCTCAGAAACGACAACGGTGGCCGGTGGTTCTTAATTGATGAACGGAGAGAAAGTTTCGGGAGAAGTAAAATAGCTTGAAGAGAGAAGCTATGTGTGTAGAGAGGTTTTGGTGAGATACCAAGTTGTGTCCTCTCATGTGGAGAAGACTTATAATTTATAGGTATGGTGAGGCAATGAGTGAGGCGGTGCTGTGAGGGAGAGGGCACTACTTCTTTAGGGAGGATAATTACCAAAGGTAAGTGCAATTAATATAGGATTGATCTTCATGAGTGTGCATCCCAATAATATCTCTCCCACGTGCTCTTATCTTCCCGGGCTCCTCAGATCTTGGACTAGGTCGGATTGGTGAACCGAGTCTAGTCTACCTTTTAGCTGACTTGGGCTTGCTTGATTTATTGGGCCTGACTTTGTCAGATCTGGGCTCCTCATTTGCCCCCCATGCCCCAAGCCTTTGACTATTGGTGAGAGAAGGTGGGTTGAGGGCATGATTTTTCTCTTCACTTGGTCGAACATAAGTTTTCTTGTTCCCCATGATATACCTTTGTCTCCAGAGACTTCGTTGAGATCCATTAACACTGGACATTTTTTGTATTTGACTGCATTTTTTTTAGGTCTTTCGTCAATAGAAAATTTTGCCTATATATAGAGGCCTTAGGACTCCCCATTCCATTTCCTCTTTTCTTTTCCTTGGAGGCTTGTCTTAGAAGCTACCCTTGAAGGCTTCTCTTGGAAGCTACTCTTAAAGGCTTCTATTGGAATCTACTTTTAAGATAATGAATGATAATGAAGGATAGGAGGTTGAGGGAGGTGAGAGAAGAATCTAGTGGTGATTCCACGATGGAGAAAACAGCTGGCAGTGGGAGGGTGGCGCCATTGGAGAGACCTGTCGATTTGGCGTGTTGGCCCAGGCATTGGGCGGCGCCCTCTTTGGGGTGGATCAAGGTGGCTCATCTTCAGTGCAGGGAAGCGTCAGCACATTGGGTGGTGTAAGGAGCATTGGAGACGCCATGGGCGATGCCATGGTTTGCGAGGAGACCATGGGCGACGCCATAGCTATCGAGAGGTCCATGGGTGGGGGCTATGGCTGGCAAGTGGGCCATGGGAAGTGCTCATTACTGAAAGGGAGGCGACTTTGGTGCTGGTTCTAAGACAACACCAGGCGCAACCCTGGCAACGCCAGGTAAGGCCACGGGTGACGCCGAAGGTGGGCTAGGCATGGGCGACCTTCCACCTGGGCTTTCAAGTGGCTCCCGATGGGGCATAGGCTGTAGCGATGGCACTTTTGGGCGCTTGGGTACCAGAAAGCAAAGAGAAGATGTCATTCTATAAAGCCCCAAAAATCACCTTGGACGACATTACAATTTAAACCATTCATATCATGGGAGCAACTAATATAATCCATCAATAAATAAAAATTCATTCATCATATCGAATATTTACAATATCATCCCAAAAGAATATGCCCAACCATGGCAATTACATCCAAAATAATCAAATTTAACTTGCAGTGGAATAACAAAAATATTAGACTCCACCGAGTCTCAAAAGGAATTTCCTAGTGTAGCACCTAGGAGAATATAGTCGTAAGCATCCACCTCGGGTTCTACGGGCCCGTTTAGCGAAGCTTCCAAATGCACCCGTTCATCGACTCTGAGCTCCTCCTTTAACACGTAACCTATAAATATATTGTTTGTAGGGGGTGAACACTAAGCTCTGTAGCAACATTCCACCCAAACTCGAACAAGGTTTAGAAAATATGTAAAGCAAGTCGGTCTCATTTCACAAATATCATATATTAATTATTGAAATAAAACAGGGACATTTAAACATATCATAAGTTTAAGAAACAACAGTAATTTAATGCATAAGGGAAACCAATATACAACTAATAATCCATTCCACCATAAACCGTTTCTCCCAAGTTCTTGCGGAATCCCATACTTTCCAAAATTCTTGTAGAAACTATTTCTGGTACAATAAACAATAACCCACCACTGTATTTGTATCTTGGGTCTGAAGTAAGATCTCGCATGAATACTAACGAAAATATTCTCACCCACGTACAACTCACACAAATCCTCGCAAAGATATCCAACATTTAGGAAAGGCGTATGTCAACATCATGACAATGACGTATCCAACCCAGGAGTAGTATACTACCCTTTTTTCCACGATACCCCGTGAGGGATAATGGTTTAGTCCTCGCAAGACACTAACTCCACTACTAGTGGTAGGAAAATTTCAAACCCGCATGGAGTAAAATGTCGTCTACACACTCTACGATACCCAGTCAATAGTAGCCCACGTTTATCCAACAACCACACAAGAGATACAATCCCAACAATTTTCTCAAATAACAAACAATTCCATAAATTCCCAATTTCACATGTAGTATTTCAATAGAACAATTGAAGAAAATGCAAGAGATCATCATCAATATCATTTTGATACTCAACACAAAGCACTAAAGTTTTTGAAACTAAATTTAAGTGAATGTAGAGGGAGAAACCCATATTTCTCAAAAACTAGGGTTTTAAATCAAGAAAAAGAGATTTCATGGGTATTCAACCCTAACTTTGTTTAAAACCAAATAATAATTACAAGAAGACCAAGGAATGATGATTTCATAACATATATATAAGATTTAGAGTTAAAGAATACATATACATAGTCTTCTTCCAATACATATATAGAGTCAAAGATTTACAATCTACTTAGTTCAAAAATAAATGATTACTCGCTGTATAAAGATAAAAGTGTGGGGGTTTACAATCCACCCCCCTTAAAGAAAGTTTCGTCCTCGAAACTTAATTGCCGAGTTAGTCTATCTAATTCTCTTTTGGCCATGATGTCGCCACTTCTATTCATCCTAGCTTATCCATAAACATTTCACAACAACCAAATTCAATATCAAAAATGGGTTACTCATCATTCCTATACCCCAAATTACGTTATAATTCAAAACTTAGTAATGTTATTTCGACAAGATCTACAACGATTCCTTAAATTGATGTATCATTCTTAATGACTTTGTTTCTCCTTAGACTAGAGAAACTCACAATATTTAAAATCTAATAATACTTCACATCCTATGGACACTTATCAATTTCGGTAGTTCNCTGCTAGAGATAATGGTTTGAAAGTAGTCTCCATATTTAGCACCATTGACTAGGACAAGGATATTGTTAGTATAGTGTCTTCGTAACGTATTCCTCCTGATGTCTTGTGTCGTCGGGTGGAGGAGGACGAGTCAATTGGTTGTGACTCCTTTGGTGAGATTGTCCTTTGTGAAGATATCTTGGAGGCAAGCCTAAGGTTTCTGATACCTGGGCCCATATGTCAGGTTCTGGGGCACCTGTCGCTAGTTCCCGGGAGATTGGCTCCAAACGGGTGAAGGGTGATACTAGCATTCTTGTCATTGTGGCGGCTGGTACATAGTGGTGATGTCCCTCTACCATTCAAGGAATTCTTGGCCACGTATGTGCTCCTGGAGAACGTCATTCCTAATCAGGGGTGGTACCATTTTGTCCCGAGGGTGGGGAAGTTCATCACTAGGCTTCCTTCAAATCTTCATAGCTGGAAGACTAAGTTCTTATTTGTTGGAGGCAACTAAGCCACCGAGAGTGATCGTGACCTAGTACCTTTGGGGTGGGACACCATTCCCAAGACCAAGCTAGGTAAGGACTCCACCTTTAATTATACTTCTAGTTGTAAATACTTGCTCGTACTGTCTGGCTGGTTTTTTTGTAGCTCCACCGACATTATCTGCGGAACAAGAGGGTAGACTCCAAATGGTACATGATCATCCGTACAAGGAGTTTTCAGGAATTATGTCCGTGTCAGGTAACTCCAAGGCTACTCTCAGGCCAAAAAGGAAAGGTATTTGATCTCTCCAATAACTCTTTAACTTCGTAGGGCATTTTTTTTTATCTTACACCGATCCTGCAAGTGCCTCCATTGATAGAGTTGTGGTGGAGGTTGTCTACTCTTCCAGGGCGACATCTTCTCCTCCTTCTTCAAAGAGTTCTAAGTTTGATGCCCCCAGTGTTTCCTAGCCGAGGTTTATCGAGCGGGCTGGTTCCCGAGGGGCAGAACCTGATGATGCCCCTCGTTCTTCCCCAGTTGCTATTCCTTCATCGCCTATAGATGGCCCTAGTATTGCTATGGGGCTGTGGCCCCACTGCAGTCTCCTACTTGGACGAAGGCTCCACCTAGCCATCTTGCTTCTGGTAGTATCTAAGCATCCATATTGCAGGACGTGAAATTGGCCAAGGACCGACTTTGGGGGTTTGTGACCCGTACGGAGATTGAGGAGGTTGCCTCTCAAGGTCTAGAGGGCATTGTTAATGCTGCCATGGAGGGCTTTGCTTTGGTATGTACTGCATTCTTCTTTGGTTTTATACCTGACCTTTCTCCTTTATATTTTACTTTTGAATGCCTGTAGGTGGCTTTCTACTTTTCCTTGCTTGTTTTCGAGTACGCTGAAGATCAGGGAGACACTTGATGNCGAGGATATTGTTAGTATAGTGTCTTCGTAACGTATTCCTCCTGATGTCCTGTGTCGTCGGGTGGAGGAGGACGAGTCAATTGGTTGTGACTCCTTTGGTGAGATCGTCCTTTATGAAGATATCTTGGAGGCAAGCCTGAGGTTTCTGATACCTGGGCCCATATGTCGGGTTCTGGGGCACCTGTCGCTAGTTCCAGGGAGATTGGCTCCAAACGGGTGAAGGGTGATACTAGCATTCTTGTCATTGTGGCGGCTGGTACATAGTGGTGATGTCCCTCTACCATTCAAGGAATTCTTGGCCACGTATGTGCTCCTGGAGAACGTCATTCCTAATCAGGGGTGGTACCATTTTGTCCCGAGGGTGGGGAAGTTCATCACTAGGCTTCCTTCAAATCTTCATAGCTGGAAGACTAAGTTCTTATTTGTTGGAGGCAACTGGGCCACCGAGAGTGATCGTGACCTAGTACCTTTGGGGTGGGACACATTCCCAAGACCAAGCTAGGTAAGGACTCCACCTTTAATTATACTTCTAGTTGTAAATACTTGCTTGTACTGTCTAGCTGGTTTTTTTGTAGCTCCACCGACATTATCTGCGGAACAAGAGGGTAGACTCCAAATGGTACGTGATCATCCGTACAAGGAGTTTTCAGGAATTATGTCCGTGTCAGGTAACTCCAAGGCTACTCTCAGGCCAAAAAGGAAAGGTATTTGATCTCTCCAATAACTCTTTAACTTCGTAGGGCATTTTTTTTTATCTTACACCGATCCTGCAAGTGCCTCCATTGATAGAGTTGTGGTGGAGGTTGTCTACTCTTCCAGGGCGGCATCTTCTCCTCCTTCTTCAAAGAGTTCTAAGTTTGATGCCCCCAGTGTTTCCTAGCCGAGGTTTATCAAGCGGGCTGGTTCCCGAGAGGCAGAACCTGATGATGCCCCTCGTTCTTCCCCAGTTGTTATTCCTTCACCGCCTATAGATGGCCCTAGTATTGCTATGGGGGCTGTGGCCCCAGTGCAGTCTCCTACTTGGACGAAGGCTCCACCTAGCCATCCTGCTTCTGGTAGTATCTAAGCATCCATATTGCAGGACGTGAAATTGGCCAAGGACCGGCTTTGGGGGTTTGTGACCCGTACGGAGATTGAGGAGGTTGCCTCTCAAGGTCTAGAGGGCATTGTTAATGCTGCCATGGAGGGCTTTGCTTTGGTATGTACTGCATTCTTCTTTGGTTTTATACCTGACCTTTCTCCTTTATATTCTACTTTTGAATGCCTGTAGGTGGCTTCTACTTTTCCTTGCTTGTTTTCGAGTACGCTGAAGATCAGGGAGACACTTGATGGTCAGGCAGCGGGGAGACAGGGATGCAAGGTTGCTGAAGAGCAGTTGGGGCTCGAGTGATAGGCACGAGAGGATGCCGCAGAGCAGTTGAGGCTAGCACATGAGAGAGCTGCCATACTGGAGATTGAGCTTTAGGCGTCCCACGAGAGGGCCTCCTAGTTGGAGGCTGATAGAGAGGTTACGAAGACTTAGCTGCGAGCATTCCATGAGAGGGCCACTGTGTTAGAGGCTGACATTCGAGCAGCTCTTGAGAGAGTTACAAGGGCAGAGGCTTACTCCATATAGATGTCGAAGAAGAGGGATGCTACTGAGAGGACCAAGGCAGACGCCTTCTTTGATGGCTATGAATAGCTCAAGAGAAATGTCTTAGCAAATTTTCCCACTTATGACTTTTTTGGCTTTCTACTTGTTGAGGCTCTGGGGACTGATGACAAGAAGGACGCGAGCGATGGTGGGATCGGAGGCAATGAGTGTCGTTCAGAGCATGATATC